TAAAGTTTCCCATTCTTAGGAGGCAAGCTCCAGCTTGTTCAAGCTGAAATCGGCAAAGTCTCAAAAGAGAGTGAGGAACGATCCAGAGCTGGCACTTCACAGCTACTGCTGTATTTATTGGCCAAATAACATCACTAAGCCTGCTAGGTATACAGAGTGGAGAGAAAGCCCATATCCATCAATGAAAGGTAAAACCAGTTATATGACAAAGGACATGATCACAGTGTGGGCAAGAAAGAAACATGAGGATTATTATAGCACAACATTGCCTCTGAAGTAAATTTTAATTAATCCCTTTGTAACACTATTTGTTCTTTCACAATTTCATATATATATATATATATATATATATATACACACACACACACATACACATGTACACATGTATAATGAATGTAGACCATATCTACTCTCATTATCTTCTCTAATTCCCGTCCTCATTCCAACCAACCCCTTCTTTCAACAAATTACCCTCATACTTTAAATTGCTTTTTATTTATTTGTACAGAGGATTGCATTTAATTAGTGTCACCAGCATAAGCCTGGGAGAAGGACTATTTACTTTAACAGGACAACTTACCAGTGGCTACACCACTGAGGAATATGGCTGCACTTCTCCCAGCAACCATCTTTCCTTAGAGAAGAGCAGAGCCTAAGCCACTCTCCCAGATAGAATGGAATGATGATAGGCATAGCCTTTTGCAGCTCTTGTACAAGTAGCCAGTGCTGCTATGAGTTTATAGGGACAACAGTCATGTCATAATCAGAAGACAGTATGTCAAAACACTCATTGCCATTCTCAAGCTCTCACATTCTTTCTGCCTACTCCTCCATGACATTCCCTGAGCCTTGGGATTGTGGGGCTGTGGGATACACTTCTATGACATTCCATGAGCCTTGGGATTGTGGGGCTGTGAGATATGTACTTCCGTAACATTCCCTGAGCCTTGGGATTGTGGGGATGTGTGATATATGCTTCCATGACATTCCCTGAGCCTTAGAATGGTAGGGATGTATGATACACTCTTCCATGACACTCCCTGTGTCTTGGGGTGGTGGAAATACGCAATATCATCTTTCATGACATTTCCAGAGCCTTGAGATGGTGGGGTTGTAACATGAGGGCCAGGCTCCTTGGGATTTCTGTCCCGCCTGGTCCCCCAGCCATTTAGTCCCAGAGAAAATCACACGGAGATCTCCATAAGTTATAAAACTGATTGGCCCATTAGCTCAGGCTACTTATTAGCTCTTGTAGCTTATATTAATCCATTATTCTTATCTATGTTAGCCACATGATTCGGTACCTTTCTCAACGGGGCAGCTCACATCTTGCTTCTTCAGTGGTCTGGGCAGAATTGGCGGAATGGGCTTCATCCTTCCTAGAATTCTCCTCTTCTCATGGCCCTACCTCTACTTCCTGTCTGGTTGACCCGCCTATACTTCCTTCCTGGCCAATCAACATTTATTTAAAACATATTGACAGAATACAGACAATTCTCCTGCACCAGTGTGTGATATAAATGTTCCCTTTAGGTGTGAGCACTCACAGTTGCCTATTCTCATCACTTGGTTAAATCTCTGTATTAACTGTCACTCACAAAACCTTCTCTGACTCAGGCTGAGAGCAGCTCTACTTATAGAAATAAACATGAATATTTAGATGGCAATTTGACATCATGTCCTATATCGAAACAATAGTATTGAATTCCCCCTTAGAGTTTATGACTTCCCAAGAAATAAGATTTTGTTAGGTGTACAGTAGCAGGGATGATTTTTTCCTAGAATGGGACTCAAATCTAACAAGGAAATGATGGTCACTCACATAACAGTGATACTACCATTTCAGTAGTGGATACATTTTGCCTAGCAGGTTAGTATTGCAACTTAAAGGGTTCACAGTTGTGAGACTACTGATGACTTTTCTCACTATAGCACCCTCTATAGAATTTTCTAGAACGATGAAAGTGAGCCAGCAGAAAGCAAGCTTACAACTCAGTTACAGTTCGATTTCTCTATATCATGCAACCAAGGCATGTGGTGTTTTCAGCAATGTTGTCTAACCATCTTATTCTGGATGACAGCAAGGGGCAATGCAGTAATCCATATTGTTTCAGGGGCCTCTGGGCTCTCTGTCACTGACAGCCTAAGGAAGTATCCCACACCACTTGCCTCTGGAAGTTTTGTCTAACAACCTCTAACTTCTAAAAGTGACACTATGTACATCTCAACTCAAACTGGTTATTTGTTTTGTTTATTTATTTGTTTGTTTTTTACAAGTTGTTTACAAAATTCCATATATCATTTTCATACATTTTTAGTTTTGGTTAACTACTCATTCCTACCCACTCAATTCCGTATTTTCCCCATCCCCATCTCCACTTAAACCTTTTCACCATCAATATTCCCTTCCTCTATTTTCATATCCAGTATGATCCATAAGCAACTTTTGGATGAGTTCCTCATTTTCGTGCCCAGGCTCAGCATCAGTCTTTTTGCCTTAGGAAGTAGGAACTTTTGAACTTTTCAGTTTGAGAAGTTTGCCAAGTAGATAACATCTCTCATGTGTTTTTGGAAGAACTCAACCAGCACTTTGTTACACAGTAGACAACCACCAGCTGATTTTTCAGGGAAAGTGTTGCGTGGCTGTGCTATGTGTGTCACTGCATCACACTGGATATACAGAAGACAGGATGCAGTTTCTGTCACAACCCATCAGATCAATGAGCTCAGACTTCAGAATATGTTGTGGCTCCCATAAAGGGAGAGAGGTTTTGTTTTGCTTTTCTTAATACCATGGCCTCCTTTCTCAGGCTTTAAAAGATTGTTAAGGGCCTTGAAGATATTTTGGTGGGTAGAGAGCTTGCTGTGTAAGCACGAGGACCCAAGCTCAATCCCTAGCAGTTACATGAAAATCTGGGCTGTGTGCTTAAAACCCAAACACTAGCCAGGATACTCCCTGAGGCTTGCAGGCCGGTCTATGTAGTATGACCAGTGAGCACCTGACCCCAAGAAAATGCTGTCTCGAAAGAGAAATTGGTATACTGCTTATGAGAAATGTCATCCAAAGTTGGCCTCTGGCTTTGCCATACAAGTGTACCTATGCACACAATCATACATGCAGGAACAGAGGGAGAGTATGAATAGTAGAGGGTGTGGAATAAGAGTTTGTGTGAGTTCTGGTTGTGACATTTTCTCTCTGTGACCTTGCTTTTCAAACCTGGCTTTCATTTTCCCAGCTCTTCAGTTGAGGAGGAGGAAAGACTGGACACATCCCACATGAAAATCTTGCCAACGGAGGGTGATACACACATGTGATACACATCATCAATATGCAAGCATGACCAAGGGAATTTCATAGTGAGGTCTTTTAATGAATTTTGTGTTCCTTCTTTCAGAGGCACAGTCTCACTCCAGACAGGACCTTCACTAAGTAAAGTTTCTGGACTACTTTTCTATATCACCAAGATGAGCAATTAATTTTTTGGTATGAGTTCCCTCTTGAATTATAAATTTTCTTTGCTATAATTCTTAGAAGCTTACTAGATATTTATCATATACAAGGCTAGGAAATGCTCTGTACATGGATAGACCACATGGGTGGTATCTGTCCTATGTCATGAATGTTGACATAATGAACTTAATAGTCTTACGACATTAAAATAAAGATACTGCATAGACAAAATGAGTTATATGGATATGAAAGAGATTTACTTTAAACAAGAGTTTATTATCCTTCTGCACTAAGTTTCAAGACAGGATGTGGGCTTATAGTTTGACTTTACTCCAAAATCTTTCAAGAACCCTAACTTCTATAGAATGAGCCCTCGTAAAACTCAGCAGAAAGTCACTTGTGCTTGCAATCATGCAGTCACCCTGCATGACTTCGTCCTCAAGATCTCTTCATGGTCCAAAATAGCAACTATAGCCCTAGCCATTGTAGCTGCATTCCAGCCAGGAGGAGGAGGAAAGGACAAAGGACAAATTCTGTGTGCTTTAAAAAGATATTTTCACAGGGGTTTGTGCCATGTTATCATGAACATCATCAGACACATGTCAATGGCAGCAAAAGTAGCTGAAAAATGTCTCTGTACTCTGGCTACCAAGACCCAATTTCTAGGGGGAAGAAGTGAGTTGATGTTAAGAAAAACTAATAGTTTATTGAATTGTTGTTAAACCGTTCCATAGAGTAAGAATTAGTTCTGGAAGGATTTCAGTGCTTCTTTGCTCACCTATATCTGAGCCCCAGATTGTGAGGTTTACTTATCCTACTCCATTCCATGAAAAGCATTGCCATAACTTTAATATGTGGAATCACAGAGTCTGATTCTACAAATGACTGGTCCCAGCCTCTGCACCTGTCTTTTCCATTGCTCTATAGCAAAATCACATTAGTCACTTTTCAAGACTGTGACCAAATACCTAATAAGCTTCCCTTCAAGGCAAATGATTGCTTTGGGTTCATGAATTTTATATTTTCACTTCAAAGTCAAATGCTTTTATCTCACAGTTGGCAGGAGAGAGACAATGAAAGGAAAAGCACAGGGATAGGGTAGACCTTTCAAAGGTACGTCCCTAGTGACCTAGCTAGGTTCTGTAGCCAGGCCCCACCACCCATAGCTTTCACTGCCACCTAGAAATCCATTCAATTGGGAATTCTTTAATGGATTAATGTATTGATTAGGTTAGAATCCTCATGATCTAATCACCTCTTGATGACTGATGACTGTATTTACCGGGGAGGGGGGATGATCTCATTGACATAAAGGTGAATATTACCTAGCTAAACTGTATCATAGAGCTTAAGCTTAAGGGATATAATTCTACCTTCAGAAACTCGACACTTCTGAAATAAACAAAAAAATCACAAAAAATTTCCTTATTTTCCTCATCTTTAAAAATGAATATAATAATACCTACTACAGTTTAAGATCAGTAACTTTAATATATAAAATAGCAATATCCAGAAACCCCAGAGGTAAGGAATAAACACAGACAATGCATAGTGTTTTCATATAAGACATTGGTTGTATTGTTTTATGTAAATGTATCACCACAGAGGGCATTTATTTTTGCTCAGGTCACTCTTGAAAGGTTTTATGCAAACAATGACACTTGCATTTAGTTGACAAACAGATTAGAGAGGAAAGCACTCTAGACAGGGATCAACCATTGTATAGGGACAGGACATGATACTGGGGAAGGTTGAAGAATAAGAGAAGAACAAACTCCATGAATCTTTGATGAAGGAGAGTTGTTATTGTGCTTGCATAGTTACTCTGCAAATCCTTCACTCTTCAATGTCATCTTCAAGTTATGGTATGAGCTGGTGGCTCTCGTGGCTTCTGGTCATTGTTCTCTGACTCCAGTAATCTAGGTGAAGAAGAAAAGAGATAAGTGGTGGTGGTGGTGAACCTGAGGTACGGCTTGAGGGGAATTGTAGCTGAGCCTCAGGAAGTAATCTGAAAGATGATTCAGTGAAAGCTACAAAGGGAAACAGTAGAGAAGGAGAGTCTGTCCTATTCCAAAGGCAAAGGTCTCGATTATCTAACAGAATCTCTGACACAGTCCCATTTCCAAGAGAAGGCCCATATTTTGATTTTCTTATTTCTCTGCTCAAAAAATTCATTCTCAGATCTTTAGACTACCTCAGAGATTTTGTGGTCCCCTTATCAACATGATACTAGAAGGTACAGCTAAGTTGCCATCAACAGTGGGAAGGGAGAGAGAAAGTACTGAGTAAAACATCATGGAAGGAGAAACTTCACTGAGAAGAAGATAGAATGTTCCAGACACCAAAAACAAATAAAGAAATAGTAAATAAAGAAATAAATGCTTAAGAATGTTTTGTTGCATTCTAGGGCTTGTAAGAATGGAAGGTCTTGGGTAACTTTGGCATTCTTTTGGAGGGAACTGTAGGACATCAGACTTTTCTTCTCTTCCTTTTGATTCTCAATAAAGGACCATGAGGTGAACAGTTTCCTTCAGGAACAATAGGGGAGCAAAGTATGTAGAGAAAGAAAGAGTTGAGAAGTCCTGGTGGCCGTATCTGCCAAATCCTAGTGGTAGACTTTACCTAACAACATTCTGAGCTTGTGTCTTCTTCCATCACATGGAGACAGATGATTTTTCTGTCCAGAACTAACACACCTGACTCTCTACCCTTTCTCTTTAGTTACTCAGAATTTGAAAAGTTAGGGAAGTTTCTCTGCTTGAGATAAGCTACACATGCAGAAGGTAAGATTTCCCTAAGTTGTCATTAAAGGTTCAGTGAAAAGTGTGGTCCTTTAGGCCTCAGATGATGTCCATAGCATAGGGCTAATCCTTGGGGACACGGTTGAATATAGATGAGAAGAACTCATTTCAACAACTTCAAATTCTCTCAGAATTCATGACTTGAGCACTCTGAACTGAACTTGAACCCTCTGGCATTCCGATCAGCTTATGCAGTTTTGATTGCAAAAAAAGAGAATTTTAAAAAGTCATTAAACAAGGTGAAAAGCCTTATTGGACACGAATTGGCTCTTAAAGAATATTACAATGATATAAAGCTCAAATGGGTCAGAAATTTATGAAAGTCATTTCCCTTAAATAAAACATGATTTTAAATATTCAAGTAGGAACATTTGCCAGATGTACGGAGTGTTTTAAAACATTCGAATAACTGCAAGGTTTTGCTCATTCTGAAGACTTTGTGTTGGATGGTGGAATGCCTCTACCATCACATTCAGTTCCCCTCAGCCCAGAGTCTATACATTAAGGGACATAAAAGACGCTCTGAATCGAGGAACTGAGCCATGCTGACTGCCCCTTTTCTTTCCGGTCACAGAAGTCACCTGGATATTGAACACACAGATTAAGTACCCTGGTTAGCAATGAAGTTGCCTGCTCTTCAAACAGAATTTGAAGTTGCTTTTTAAAAAGCAAACTGTAAAGCTACTTTGCAAATAAAATATCCAACATTTAATACAACGAGGCAGTGACTAATCCAGTTAAACGATTATGAGATGAGCAGCTAAAACGAATGAAGAAAAGAAGGAAAAAATAAGATAGACTAGAGATAAAATGTACAGAGTAGTGGTTGGCAGAAAAACAAGTAAAGGAGTGTGTGGATAAATATGTAGACATTGAGTTGGGTAGATAGGTAAACTAGATTAGATTATAAATTGAAATGTTAGTTTATGGATGGGTAGATCATTCCATATCTATCTGGATGCTAGGATGCGTGAACTGATTTATGAAGTATATGTAAATTAGTAACGAATGGGTGACCCGGAGGTGTAGATGGACGGATGGATGTGTGTATGAGTAGATGAGTGGGTGAATGAATGAACGGACAAGCCAGAATAGTGAGAGCTGAAAATTGCTATTTAAAGGAACTATCTGACAATTTCACACTTGGCCCAGTCCCAAGCTTTTATTTCCTTTGGAAATAATATACATTCCCTTTAAGATACAGGTCTATAATGCCCTAATTCCAAAATACAACACTATCTCTCTCTGATTCTTTATACTAAACAGTATGTGGCGATTAAAAAAACAACTGGAACTCAGAGTGTTTATCAGATACAGCCTATAGGCCATGTGGTCATAGTAAGTCACACAGATAAGTCACAAGAGCAATATCACTCATGTGTTATTGTTTCCAAAACAAAGGCGTTCGTAACACTGCAACTTGCCTACTGAGCTAGTGTTTCTCCTTTTCTTTCCCAACAGTCTTTTTCTTTGCTTTCTGAGGCAGTTGTCCATTCTCAAAGAGCAAATGACAGCTAGGCATTATCACAGAGCAGCATTCCCATTTGCAGTTACAAAGGTTCTGCCCAATGAGGAGGAGGGGGACGTACTTTAATATGGAAATTAATGAAGTAGCTTACTAGGGCCTTTGAAATTTGGCCATTCCTCCTGCTTTGATTTTTGTTGTGTGAGGTCTTATTCTCAGAGCTCCAACATCAGTTACTTTAATCATGAACAAAACGCCATGAAATTCCAACTAGCTATTACACACAATGTCTTCAACCCACTGGGTACTACTCTGCATAAATACATCTATTTAACTTCACCGTTATACATGCTATTATGTCATTTCACACGTCAAATCAGTGAGACAGAGAATCTCATGCAAGCTGACAGTCAACACACACACACACACACACACACACACACCTACAATCTGAAAGCTGGTAAAGATAACTCATGTGACCATCAAAGTCTTCTGCTTTCTGCCAGCTAAGTATTTAATTGCAAATGTAGCCCAAATTATTCAGTTATATCAACCTGCCTTTTTAACCTGCCTGACTACTTTGAACACACGATAATGCCAATCTGCCACGTCACCTTGAAAGCAGTTTTAAGTCATATATACTATTATTACCAACTATGTATATTTAGCCAAAACAGAATTACAAAGGCTGAGTCACCCGCCAGACAAACAGAACAGGTAAGTGAGAGAGAGCTGGGGTGGGAAGAAGCTCCAGCTTGCTTGCTCTGAAGCTGATTCATAATCTACCCCACGGCCCCACCTTCCTGGGCAGTGCTCATTTCTTTGAACAGCATAAAAAAAACCCAAAGGAATCCTCAGTGATACTAATGAAACCTGACTCCTGGGCTGAAAATAGTCCTGCAGGTCATAAAAGGAAGTTGCCAGCAGACAGGGTACTCAGTATTGTCTGGGGTCCTTAAGGGCCCTTAGGCTCAGCTCCAACCTGGAAAGGTCACCTCTTTGCCTAACTTTGTGATTCAGAAAGGGAGTGTGCTCTCCCTCCAGGGATACCCATACGGGCCCCTTCAGAATTCCCATCTTTCTTAATCTGACTCCTTCTCTACTCCTGTTGCCAGAAAAGCACAACCTTTCTGGATGTCCTCAGAGTACTCCAGGATAAGTCCATGTCCTCGGGAAGGGTCGGAGTCGAGTCAGGGGGGGAATCAGACGCTAGTGAACCCAACGGCTGGAAAGTAGTCAAGAATCAGGCCTGGGATCTTGAAAGCCTCCAGGACCAGCTGAGAGAACTCCTTCAGTTACAGACGGTGGTGGGTGTGAGTGTGAGGCTCAGAGTGTCCTTTAATCATTACAACCATGATCCTCCAAGGTAGGCACTGTGGTAGTGAAACTCATTTCATCCTATGAAAAAAGTCTTAGAAATGGCTGATAATCCAGGGAAAAAAAAACAAATATTCAGAAAAATAAATCTCTCTGAAAAGTAAAGGAGAGAAGAAGGGGGTGGATTAAGAGAGGGAGGAAAGAGAGATTAGCAAGAGAAAGAAAGGAAGGAGCAAGGGAAGAAAGGAAATACAAAAGGAAAAGAGGGAGACTTGTCCAAGTTCCCAGAGCAAGGAAGTTAATAAGCAAGCTGTGTGTATGCAGGCAAGCTCTGCAGGATCCCTAAGACCCTGCTCTTCCCAGGTACTTTTTGCCAGTGTCTAAGGCGAGAAAGACATTCAGAGTAGAAGTCAAGCGGGAGGGAAGAAGGGTCAAGAGTCCCAAGGAGTTGTAAAAGCAGAGAAGGCAAGTTTGTAGCACATTTTTTGCAGTACCCTTGTTGCTCCTAAAGGGTACTAGAAATTGAGCCAGCTTGTGTGACTGGATAGCAGAAGAAGGCATTACTTGATGGAATCTGTAAACTCTGTTAAATACCACTGGTTTATTGAGATTAAGGGATTAGTGGAGCAACAAGCAGGGGAACTTTCCAGGTCATAGGACAAAGAAGTAGCTGAAGGTGTGTGTCGTGTGTGTGTGTGTGTGTGTGTGTGTGTGTGTGTGTGTGGTGAGCATCTGAGCATTGAGTACTTTGCATGTATGTGTATGGTGTGAGTGTACGTGTGTACTGTATGTGGGCATTGTATATACCTGTATGTATTGTATGCTGTGTATTATGTGTGTTTTGTGGTATATATGTATCTATTTGTGCATTTTCACACGTGTTTTCTTGACATTGTAGCACATATAGTAATCAGTCTGTGTGCTTTTTCTGGGAGGTTGGGTCTTCCTTCTAATTTTTTAAGTGTTGAGAAGGTATATGAGAAAAGACTGGAGAAGTTAGGCAAAGGAATTTCAAGTAGAAACGTGAATGTCATGGGGGTTCAGATGACACTACCTTGCATTAGCTATAAGTGGTGTAGGCAGGTTGTGGGGGAGGGGCATGTGCTGGCTTCATCATGTATGCTTAGCAACCTCCTTGGTAGTGGACCAGTCAAGCACTTGCAATCTGCTTCTCTGTGGAAGTCAAAGCTAACCATCCCAACCACTTTTGCTTTCTTCCTCATCCAGGTCAGCCTCACAGCAGGGAGGTGTCTGCGACACTTGGGGAGTCCATTTGTGCTTCTAGGTACCTCGCTTCCCGCCTGTGGTTGTAGGACTAGCAAACCATGCCATGCTC